CCACTCACCTCGGCCTCCCAAAGCGCTGGGATTACAGGCTGAGCCACCGAGCCCGGCTAACTTACATTTTTAAGAGAAGAATTAAAAACTGATTTTATTCAATTTTACAAAAAAACATTCTCAACTAAAATGTCTCTACATGTTAAGAATTTTTGCTCACCCTTTTCATCACTCTATTCCCAGCATTTAGAACAGGACCTAGAACATGGCAGTTATTCAGTGACTATTTACTGAATGAGTGAATGAGATCAATACATTCTTCAGTCTGGTAAAATGCACAGCATGAACCTTTAAATGTCAGATTTCCTTTAATCATTTTCTCCCCAGATGATAGAATTGCATTGTGGATCACCAACTGTAGTATTGTGAATCACTAATTATGTGCTTGTTTTAGAGATGAGATAAAGGCATAGCAGAGACATCTATTTTTGGTAGAAGTGCACTGACCCACTAGAGCTGAGTAGTTGCTGTACAGACCCAGTAATGAGCTAATCTAGAGGGAAAAAAGTCCAAATTTTTAGGCACAGTATGGTATAGCATGGTGGGCATTTTTCAAAATGGATTTCAGACCTTTTGCATCATAATTATCTGATGCAGCTTCTAAGACCTTGTAGTACTTGTGAACACTGTTTGATTATTTACTATATCTTTCAGCTCTGTGACCTAGGAGAACTAATTCTGCAATGCAGTGCACTTACGTTCTGTATCTGAGATCCTCAGATGTACATATTCTGTGGCAGGTTATATTATAAGTAATAGATTACAATTTTTGAGGAGGTTGGATGTTGTTAAGGAAAGGTCATCATTGTCAGGCATGCAGTGGTACCTTACAGGCTCTTTCTTTTGAAGCTACATTGTAATACAAATCTTACATGTGAATCTTTCCTAGGTGCATAAAGATATTTGAGATTCAGAAGGGAGGATTTCTTATTTTTTCTTTTTTCTTTTGAGTTAGAGTCTCACTTCATTGCCCAGGCTGGAGTGCAGTGGCATGTTCACGACCACTCCGGCGTTATCTGCTGGGCTCAAGGGATCCTTCTGCCTCAGCCTTCCAAGTAGCTGTAACTATGGGTGAGCACTACCACGCTCAGCTGATTTTTTGATTTATTGTAAAGATGAGGTCTCACCAAGTTGCCCAGGCTGTTATCGAACCCGTGGGCTCAGGCTATCCCCTCACCTCAACCTCTCAAAGTGCTGGGATTATAGGTTTGAGTTATTGTGCCCAGCTAGGAGGCTTTCTTAATGTGAATTATCTTTCAGAATTATTTCCACTAAGAATGAAATTGGGTGATTTTCTGTTATTCTTCCATAGAAAACCATATTAGGGCAACCCCTTGGGTCCCCTCCCACTGTGGGGGAGCTTTTCTATCCTCTCAATAAATCCTGCTTTCTAAAAAAAAAGAAAGAAAACCATATTAAACAGGAATGTTAACATTTTTATTTGAACACTCCCATATTTTCTTTATACTACAATACTTAATATGTATTAAGATTTTAGTAACTACTGCTTTGTAATTTCTTAATTTATTCAAAGGTTTAAAAATAAATCTTTAGCTGTCAGTAGAAATACATTTTATATGAATTTGCTGATGCTGTTCTAATTCTGAAATTGTCAGTTTTGTGCACTTATACTTTCTCCAAAATGAAGAATTTCCTGGGGGGCATGATTTTACTGTTTTCACATTCCTTCCTGCTCTGTGAAGTCTAATGAGGTTTATCTGTCCTTTAGGTGACCTACAAACGAGATCTGTATGCAGCTGAATCGATTATTAAGGGTATGTTTGGCCTTGTAACTGTCAGTTCCTGTGTTTCCACAATGTAAGCCAGTTCAGAATTTCTCATGACAGTTTAAATCCTAGCAATCTCAGAATTATAAATGCCTGTAGGACACCAAGTTCTGTGATTTGTTTTTTGAAAATAATTATGTTGTATTTTGTATTTCCTGCTTGTGAATATCACTTATGGTGTCACACTGGTTTTAATTTTTATAAGGGAAATACTTTATTAACTTGAAGGAAGTCTGGGACGTTGATGCTATGGGAAGAGAAATAGTGAAAATTGATATTTTAATGAATTTGTAAAGGTCTTATTTCATTTTTACTAAGAGGACTGCCCCCTCCCTTTAACGTGGTCATGTGAGTACATGAGACAGCATCACTGTTTTCCCAAATTAGAGAAATTAGACCTAGGTGGGATGATTTTTTGACTTTCTTATGGTTCTGATAATGACTATAATTTTGTTTTGTACTTTTAGGTATTACATATGTACTAATGTCTTTCTTTTTAAAAAATCTCTATGCCTCTAAGATCCCAGCTACACAGAGATAGTTTATTTAATAATCACGCAAGTCCTTATTCTGTGCTTAACACTGTGCTAGGAATATAATAAAGATGCACAAGAGACACTCATTCTGTATTTTTGTAGTTTTTATCATTTAAATCAGATTTCTCAACCTCGCCTCTTTATTGGCATTTTAGTCTGGATAATTCCACGCTGTGGGGACTGTGTAGTGCATTGTGGGTTGTTCAGCAACACCTGGCCTCTGCTCACTAGATGTCAGAAGTACCCATTCTTTTCCTGCCCCTGATAGAAAAAGTCAAAGATGTATCTTGATATTGCCAAGTGTTCTCTAGGGGACAAGCTTGTGCCTAATAGAGAACCACCATTTCTAAATATATAGTCCCAGGAAGACCAGAGGTGTTTACCCCAATCCTGAAAAAAATATAGTGTACGTTAGTAAATGACTTCTTTGAAAATAGGTCATGGATAGAACTATATGCACAGGTTTTGATTAAGATGTGGACTTCTGAATTCAAACTTTTATTGAAGTAGAAAAAAGTAATGAATCTGAATTCTGAGTGCTTCAGTTTACATAACATTTTTGGGAAAATCTATTCAACAATCACTTGGCTTCATATTCAGAAGATGGAAATGTTTTCTCCTATCATGACAGTTAATTTGCAGTTTACCCTCAGGTTCTTTGTCCTTCAAGCAAATATATTTTAAAACTATTAATATACTGTAATTTACGCATCTGTGTATCTATATGTAAACAGAGCATCTATGGCTATAAATCAAAATGTTGACATAGATTTACATATCAACCAAGCACTGTGTAAACATCCCTCTGGAGAAGCTGGCTAAACCATAATGTGGTTGGTTCTACTCTCCACATAGGGAAATACAAACTCAGTTTGGTTTCTTCACAAAGTCTTGCCTGTATTACTGGGAAGAACAGAAATGATCTTTTTTTTTTTTGTGAACACATAGTAAATAGTCCCACCGAGACATCTGCAAATTGTGCCAGTTTGCTTGTGTGATATCAGGTCAGACTTGTTATCATGTAAAAGCCTACATTTTAAATGTAATTGTAGGGGTTATAACTTTGGAAATTGTCTGAAGAGAGAAATTGCTTTTTTTATTTAGGGAGCAAGTTCTGGAATGCTGCTTTTATTTTTAAAGTATTTAAAAGGTGTTCCATGACATTCTTAGGGAAAACAATCTGACTGGCTTAGTGTCAACAGCTGATTTAAGTCAAAAACCAGCATTTCTTTACATTTTGGGATTTGTGTTTCTAACAACTTCCCAGGAGATTCTGATGCCCACTGTTCTGGGACCTTCCTCCACTCAGCATTGTGGTTACCTGAGAGCTTGAAGGTAGAGTGTCTGACCCCAGTTCATTCAGTCAGAGTATGCATTTTTTTTTTTTTTGAGTTAGAGTCTCACTCTGTCGCCCAGTGACATGTTCACGGCAGTGACATGCTCACGGCCACCCTAGCATCGACCTGTTGGGCTCCGGTAATCCTTCCGCCTCAGCCTTCCAAGTAGTTGGAACCACAAGTGTGCGCTCCCATGCCCAGCTAATTTTTGATTTATTGTAGAGATGAAGTCTCACCAAGTTGCTTGGACTGGTCTCCAACCCGTGGGCTCAGGCAATCCACTCGTTTTGGCCTCCCAAAGTGCTGGGATTACAGGTTGAGCCACTGAGCCTGGCCCAGAGTATGCATTTTAATGGGAATTCTGGCTGATTCATTTTACATTTACCTTTAGGCTGTTACTCACTGTCATTCATAGGTCACATCTTTCTAAATAATATTTTTATTGCATCAGGTGCTTGAAGGCTTATTATGCTTTACCAGTGACAAATGCTTGTTTGCTCACCTGGGATGACCCCCCTGCCTTCATGCCTTGTACTTAACACTGTCTGATAGTAGAAATATCTCTGGGCCTTGGAAAGAGAAAACTCTAATTGAAAAGTCAGGCCGGGCTCGGTGGCTCAGCCTATAATCCCAGAGCTTTGAGGTGAGTGGCCGAGGTGAGTGGATTGCCTGAGCCTGCGGGTTTGAGACCCGCCTGGGCAACTTGGCGAAACCTCTTCTCTGCAATAAATAAAAAAATAGCCAGGCATGGTAGTGTGCCCCTGTAGTTCCAGCTACTTGGAAGGCTGAGGCTGAGGTGGTCCGGAGCATGCCACTGCACTCCAGTCTGGGTGACAAAGTAAGACTCCAACTCAAAAAAAAAAGAAAGAAAGAAAGAAAGAAAAGTCAATACTGAATGATCTATCACAGAAACAAAGAACTGAGTATCACATGTTCTCACTCATAAGGACACCTTGAACAATTATCGTAATACTATAAGAAAGGGATTGTCAATAGTGGGAAACTGCAAGCGGAGGGCGGGGCCGGGATTGGCAGTAGTGGGAAATTGCCAGGGGAGGAGAGGGCACACCACATTAACAAGGGTACCTGCATAATGAACATTTATATACCTAACCCTGATTTGTACCCCATATATTTAAAATAAAAAAATTTAAAAAAAAAAGAAAAGAAAGAAAATTTAGGCCTGGCATGGTGGCTCACACCTGTAATCTCAGAGTTTTGGAGGGCTGCGGTGGGAGGATTGCTTGAGTCCAGGAGTTCAAGACCAGCCTAGGGAACATTGTGAGACCTTGTCTCTACAGAAGTACTAGCTATAGAGTTTGGTGGACCTGCACCTGTAGTCCCAGCTGCTAGGGAGTCTGAGGCAAATGAATTGCCCGAGGCTGTGGCAAGTTATGGTCATACCACTGCACTCCAGCCTGGGTGACAGAGTGAGACCCTGACTCTAAATAAATAAGTAGTTAAATACTAAAATATACTATGGCATATAGCTGACTCTATGAGGTGTATATTCGCTTGTTTGCATTTTTCTAGTGGATAAGTCAGGTAGTCTGGAGAAACAGAACCACTAGGATATATGTAGATACAGGTAAGATATATAGAAAGGGATCTATTATGAGGGATTGGCTCACATGATAATGGAGGCTAAGTGCTAAGATCTGCTGTCTGCAAGTTGGGGGCCCAGGAAAGCCAGTGGTATCGTTCTAGTCCAAACCAAAGGCCTGATAATGGGGAAAGTCGACGATACGAGTCCCAATCTGAGTTGGAAGAGCTAGGAGCACAGATGTCCTTCTGAGGGCGGGAGAAGATGGCTGTTTTAGTTCTAGAAGAGAGCATTTGCCCTTCTTCTGCCTTTTTGTTCTGTTCAGGCCCTCAGCAGATTGGATGGTGCTCACACACATCAGTAAGGGCTATCTTTTATGTCTACAGATTTGAATGCTAATCTCTTCTGGAAACACCCTCACAGACACACCTTAAAATAATGTTTTACCAGCTATTTGGGCAACCCTTGCCCAATCAAATGGACACAATTAACCCTCACACTAGTAAATGCTCAAAGTATTTTTCTAGGCACTACTACTGCTAAACAGTATTTATTGGACACTTACTTTGTGTGAGCATTGTTTGAAGAGTTTTATGTGCATTATATCTTTATCTCTTGTCTAAGAACTCAGTGATACAAGTGGTATTGTTTTCATATTTTAGGATATTCAAGGGTTCTAAAGCAAATTCTGACTTGAGAATGGATAGAAAATAAATTCTTAACCACAAGTCTGTGCTCCTAGCTCTTCCAACTTCTTTCTTTCTCTGTCTGTTCTCCCGGTGTCCCCCTTAAATAGGGATTTTTCAGATTCCCTTATCTGAAACCCTTGGGCTTACGTATTTGAGAGTTTGGAATACTTTGTACTTTCAGAAGCTACTGCAGTACACTGTATGTTATGTCATATCTCCAGTGGGATTTGGAACCTTGCCACAAAGTGAAACTTTATGATACACAAACATTTATGCTCAATGTGATAATAAAGACTATAGTGCTTCTAGCTAAATTTAGGTCTGATTTTTGCTACCAAATTTATATATGAAAATAAATATTTATTTTGGTTTTAAGAATTTGTTGTATTTCAACATTGCCCATAACATAGTAGGAACCTGTTTTAGATTGTGATTCAGTGAAGGTGGAATGTCTGCTTTTTCTTTTGCATCCTCTCATAGTGAGTTGAATTGTGTGATAGGTTAACGGGTGCATTTTTTTTTCCCCTTAGAGTCTAAAGGCTTCACGTTTTGAGAATTCATGGTCTTTCTCTCCCACCTTACCACTCTACCTGCTTCCAACAGAGGCATATTGTGATCTAGAATATCTATCCCTATATATCATTTTTTTCTTCTTAAAAGAGAAATGATATAATATTTGAATATTCTTAAAATTTTTTTTTTATTTTGAAGATGTGGGGTACAATTCAGGGTTAGGTATACAAATGTTCATTAAGCAGGTACCCTTGTTGATGAGGTTGCCCCCACCCCCCCAGGCAGTTTCCCACTACTGCCAATTCCACCCACTCCCCGCCGAAACAATTTTCCACTACTGCCAATCCCTTTCTTACAGCATTCGATAATT